TGTTTTTCCTTCTCTTCTTCCTTGTTACCACAGACCCAAGCAACCCACAGTGACAATCATGACAACGATGTTCGTCCAACTGCGCCGCGTGGTGTACCTGTTGGTACTTCTGCACTTCTGTACGTGTGCGATTAACTCCGTAAGTGGTACGCCTTCCAGAAATCCTGATGAATTAAAAGCTGAAGTGGAAAAGAAAAAAACTAAGTTGGAAGAAGAAAAAGCTAAGGTGAAAGAGAAGAAGGAAATATTTGATGGCACCCTTTCGGCATTAAACACCACAAGGAATAAGTACAAAACAACAACTGAAAGTGCTCAGAGTGTCTTGAATGAGTGCAGAGAATTTGCCGAAGAGATTAAAAGTGGATCAAAGAATGTTACCGATAATGAGAATGAAAAGAAAGCCGAAGAACTTGTGAAAAAGTGCACTGAGGCCGCTAAAGAGGTGAAAAATGCTGCAGATGATGTGAATAAAAAAGCTGATGATCATGTTGCTGCCGCAGAGAATTATATGGAGGTTGTGCTTGAACTGGGTAGTGCTACTACTGCATATTCGTTAATCCAAGCAAAGTTCCAGATCAAAGTCGACGAAGTAAATGAGGAGGAGAATGAAAAAATCAAAATATATAATGAAGAGGCCGCAGAATCAAAGAAAGACGCATTTAAGGTGAAGAATGATACCTCAACATTCAAGCAGGAAGCTGCCGATGCACAGAAAGAAGCAGAAGCAGCGACTGAAGCTGTGAAGCTTCTGGAGGACGCTATTCAAAGGGCAAAGACTGCGGCAGCAGAAGAAGCGAAAAAAGCTGCCGAAGCAGAACAGCAAAACAAAGCTGGAAACAGTACAGAAGGTCAAGTCAACGAAAATGAGGAAAATGGACCGATGATAACAACAGCTGAAAACGAAACAAACACAGAAAAAAATATAACGACTGTGGATCAACATAATGATAATGGAGTAAAAGAAAATGACTCAGCCGGAGGTTCTACGAACGAAAGCGAAACAACTAATAACTCAACCGTTGCTGAAACATTGAAATCTCAAAATATGCTAACTAATACTTCTACAGGTTCAGTTCCGTTGAATGTTACACAGTTCATTGACAGCAGCAGCAGTCCTGCATTGGTGCACAGTCCCTTATTGCTGCTTCTTGTTTCGATGTGTGTGCTGGGCTGCACTGTCATTTGCTGATCGTTGTTCCAGTGGTGCAACTGCACAGTTAGCCTTTGTTTCGATGGATATGGATGCATTGTAAGGGCTTTTTTCTTTTTGTTTGGATACTGGCCCTTCTTTTTTTAAAAAAATATTATTATCCTCTTTGATGAATCTCTTATTTGCACTTTTTTGCTGAACGAATCTATTGGACTCCCTACGGCACTCATCAGACGACGAAACCGTTATTATGTAAGGGAGTCTCCTCTTTCTTTGTTGGCATTGTCTGGGCTCTGCTTTGTCGCCATTTACTGTGCTCGCCTAATGAAGTGTGTATATGTGTGTTCCGTGATATTAATAACTCTATTGCTTTTACCTGTGGGAATGGGATATTTCCCCAACATGTTTTAATGACTGTGACTGAAATGTGAAGAATGGCAGGA